TTTTGATTTCTTCCTGATTTAAGTTAGGAGAGTTGTATGTTTCTAGGAATTTTTCCATTTCCACTAGATATTCTAGTTTGTATGCATAGAAGTGTTCAGAGTTGTCTCAAATGATATTTTGTATTTCTGTGATGTTGTTTGTAATGTCTCAATTTTCATTTCTAATTAAACTTATTTGAATCCTCTCTTATTTGTTAATCTAACTAATGGTCTATCAATTTTATCTTTTCAAAAAGACAACGTTTCATTTCATTGGTCTTTTGTATTTTCTTGGTTTCAATTTTATTTAGTTCTGGTCTGATATTTGTCATTTAATTTAATCTGCTAGCTTTGGGTTTGTTTTGTTCTTATTTCTCTAGTTCCTTGAGATATGACATTAGGTTGTCAGTGTGTGATCTAGCAGACTTTTTGATGCAGGCACTTAGTGCTATAAACTTTTCTCTTAGCACAGCTTTTGCTATATTCAAGGTTTAGATAACTTGTATCACAGTTATTGTTCTTTTTGCACAATTTAAAACTTTTCATCTTGATTTAATGTTAACCCCAAAATCATTCAGGAGCAGATTGTTAAATTTCCATGTATTTACATAGCTTTGAAGGTTCCTTTTGGAATTGATTTCTAGTTTCATTCTGCTATGGTCTGAGAAGATACTTGATATGATTTTTATTTTTTTTGTTTGTTTGTTTTTGAAACAGAATCTTGCTCTGTGGCCCAGGCTGGAGTGCCGTGACACAATCTCGGCTCACTGCAACCTCCGCCTCCTGGATTCAAGCAATTTTTCTACCTCAGCCTCCCGAGTAGCTGGGGTTACGGGCACATGCCACCACACCCGGCTAATTTTTGTATTTTTAGTAGAGCGAGGTTTCACCATGTTTGTCAGGCTGGTCTCAAACTCCTGACCTCATGATCCACCCGCCTTGGCCTCCCAAAGTGCTGGGATTACAGGCATGAGTCACCATGCCTGGCTGATTTTTATTTTTTAGAACTTATTGAGACTTGTTTTGTCGCCTGTCATATGGTCTATCTTGGAAAATGTTCCATATGCTGATGAGAAGAATGCATATTCTGCAGTTCTTGGGTAGAATGTTCTGTTAATATCTGTTAGGTCCATTTGTTCTAGAGTGTGATTTAAGTCCAGTGTTTCTTTGATGACTTTCTGCTTTGATGATCTGTGTAGTGAAGTGTTGAAGTCCTCCACAATTATTGTGCTGCCGTCTATCTCTTTCTTAGGTCTAGTAGTGATTGTTTTATGATTTTGAGAGCTCTAGTGTTAGATGAATATATATTTTAGATTGTAATATCTTCTTGTTGCATTGATACTTTTATCATTATATAATGAACTTCTTTGTTTTTTTCTTTACTGTTGTTCCTTTAAAGTCTGTTTTATCTGATACAAGAATAGCTACTCCTGCTTGCTTTCGGTTTCCATTTGGATTGAATATCTTTTTCCACCCCTTTACCTGAGTCTATAAGAATCTTTAAATGTTAGATGGGTCTCTTGAAGATAGCAGATATTTTGTTTGTAGTTTTTCATCCATTCTACCAATCTATGTCTTTTATGTGGAGCATTTATACCATTTACATGTAACATTAATATTGAGATGTGGGGTACATTTCTAGTCATCATGTTGATTGTTACCTAGTTACTTTGTTTTCCTCATTGTGTTATTACTTTATAGGCCCTGTGAGTTTTATACTTTCAAGAGGTTCTATTCGGGTGCATATTGACCTTTCATTTTCAGATTTAGAACTCCTTTTAGCTTTTCTTGTAGGGCCGGTCTGTTAGTGACAAAATCCTTAGCATTTGCTTGTCTCAAAAGGACTTTATTTCTCCTTCATTTATGAAAGTTAGTTTTGCTGGATACAAAATTATTGGCTGGCAGTTATTCTGCTTAGGGAGGGTAAATAGAGAACCTCGATCCCTTCTGGCTTGTAAGGTTTCTGCTGAGAAATCTACTATTAGTCTGATAGGTGTTTCTTTATAGATTATCTGATACTTTTGTCTTAGTGCTCTTAGAATTCTTTTGTTCATGTTGACTTCAGATAGAATGATGACTATATACATTGGTAATGTCATTTGCGCACTGAATCTCTCAGGAGCTCTTTGAGCTTCTTGTATTTGGGTGTCTAAATCTCTAGGAAGGCCAGGGATGTCTTTCTCAAGTTATTCCCTCAAATAAGTTTTTCAAATGTTTTTCTTTTTCTTTTCCCTCAGGAACACCAGTGATTCTTAGGTTTGCCTGTTTTACCTAATCTCATATTTCTTGGATACTTTGTTCCTTTTTAAAATTATTTTTTCTTTATTTTTGTTTGATTGGTATAATTCAAAAGCTTTGTCTATGAGGTCTGAAATTATTTCTTCTACTTTGTCTTAGAGTAGTATTTGTCTAAGACAAAGTATTGTTAAAACTTTCCACTTGGATTTTGCAGTTTTCTAAATGTGCCTTTCATTTCCAGAAGTTTTTTTTTTAATGTTTTGTTAATATTTTTACTTATATCCTGAATTGTTTTTTTAAATTTTCTTATGTTGGTTTTCACCTTTCTCTTTTATCTTCTTGAGTAACAGTAGTTCTGAATTCTTCGTCTGGCAAATCAAGGATTTCATCTTGGTTTGGATCTATGCTGAAGAGCTAGTTTGATCTTTTGGCGATATTATAAAACCCCAGTTTTTCGTATTGCCAGAATTATTTTTCTGGTCCCTTCTTACTTCTGTGGGCTCTTATAATTATTTTTGAATTTATTTTTGATTCAACTGTGCTTTTTTCATTTCTTTTTTCCCCTTGAGGATGTGACTTTAATGTTTGTAGTTTATTTTAATCTAATTTGGCTCTTGTTGCTTTTAGTCGTGAAGACTCTGTATGAGTTCCTTGGTTATAGAGGGCCTTTTCATGGTGGCTTTCTCAGATGCTGGATGTAGTAGTGATGTGCTCCATTTATAAGCAGGTTCACTGTCTCCTGTGGGGTTGGAATGGCAGAGATATCATGAAGCTTGTTTCATTTGCCAGTGGTGTGACTTTTTTATTTATTTATTTTTTCTTTCCCCAGTGTTTTATTCACTGGGTTGAACAATTCAGACTTTAGGTCAATAGGTGGTGTCCACAGGTAAAATCTGGCTGTTGCTAAAGCAGGTATCATGATCCTTTCTTAAAAAAAGATAGTTTTAAAATAAAACTTACTGTCTTAGGAAATACCTGTATAACAATATTAAAAAATTTGATTTATTAAGGGTGAGTCTCACTAAAGATGTACTTTCTCCTCACATGATATATGATACAAATCATTACATGATAGTAAATAATTGGAATGCCAAGCCAGTATTACTAATTAGATATTTTCCCTTGTGTCCTATTGATAGCATAGTAACCCAATATACTTTTGAAAACAATTAGAATAAACTAGTTAGCAATACTGTGGGTTAACTAACCATAGATATATGATAAGTATTTTAAACCAACAAAACTAAGGAGGGATATGGTAAATAGTAAATGCTCAGTTATCTAAGGATTTAAAAAATTGTGTCATTTAGCACTGTGTACTGTTGAAAAAATGTAAGATTTTAAAGGAAGACTCTGTGTCAATGAATTATTTATCTACAAATTTAACATTAGCCACTTTTATTTAATGACTCAAAGAGTATTCTTCCTTTTTTATTTCTTATTAAGAAAATACAAGAGATGGTACTTAGTCTCTACCTTCCTATGAAGGTATGAGATCCTTACCCCTCAAAGGATTGACAACTACAAATAATGTTATAATTGGTAAATTTTTAAATCCAATATTCTATTATCTGTGCACAGTCAACGATATCAAGTTCCTGATGTTCACTGAGAAATTTGTGCCATTGTTGTTTGTAGTTTTTCTTAGGAATGTTTTTGTTTCCAGTAGCATTAAACACTGAGTGGCAGCTAAGCCATTAACATACAATGAAATTGAGTCTGCCAGAAATCTACCATTTTTTTCTTCCATTGTTTTTTCTTTCATGTGACCAGAAGACATCATTCATATGCCTTGTATGTCTGTCACTATCTTCTATTTATAAATAATCCCCAAGACAAAATATACTATTCCTAGCTAAATAATAGTAAAAGTAACTATGTAAATATGAAAAGTCTCTCAGCTTAATGTAAGATGCTTTGGTTGTTAAGTCAAAGTTTAAAGTATTTCATAGCAATGGCTATGACTGTGATGTTTTGACTATAATGTCTGCTTATCTTTGACAAACATTACCATATTCATAGGCTTTGTTGAGTCTCATAGGTTATACCTGAATCAAAAAACAAAAAGACAAAAAACCAACAACAACAAAGGTTGAGTATCAGCAAATGAGTCATGGAGTGTTTTATAGCCCTGAAAATTAGAATGTGTGCTCTGGTTGCCTGGCTGAAGGAGAGTACCAGGTTTTCATGTTCCCACCCAGCTTGGGTTTTTGGATGAGATTAAGTTTATTCATCACATAGTAGCCAAATACTAGTATCTTGGACCCTTGTGAGGAGCATTATCTGTAACAGGTAGTCCAAATATAGCCCAGCAATCTCAGGAAATGGGCAGACATCACTTACACTGGATGTCCACAGGCAGAATACAGAAAGTTCTTTTGTTGAAGGTTCTTACGAGGCAAAACAAGAACAGCTAACATGGCTTTATATCACAGACAATAATAAAGGTGGTCTGTAGGGCCCTAGATGAGCTCCCCAAAAATTCTAGTACTGCCAAAATTTTCAGGAGTCTTCAATACTGATTTTATTTTTCTCCATGTCATGGTTAACCACACCTTTTTTCACTCCTATGGCGGTCTGTTTATCTCCTCTTTCTTTGTGATATATGTTTTATTTGCTTTTAGTAATTGCTGTCTTGTAAGTATTATTGCAAAAATGTTTATATTAACTATAGATGAGCCTTCATTGTTTTTATCATGATCATATTTATTTTTTTATTAGCCTATAATTCTGTTTGAATGTATAGTCAGGTTAACATATTTGTCAATGTTCCTGTCACGCAGCTCAAAATTGTTCTGGATTGAGAACCTGTGGACAGTGTTTGGAACAGCCTGGATGTGGCTGGTGCAATGATCCTAGTAATACAGGAAGAGGACATTGCATTGAAGGTTCTTCACGGGGACCAATGAAGCTTATTGGAATGCACCACAATGAGATGGTTCTTGACACCAATCTTTGCCCCAAAGAAAAGAGCTATGAGTGGTCCTTTATCCAGTGTCCAGGTAATAATAATGTGATGGAAACAATTTCAGTTTCTGCTTAAGGGATCCTAGAAGGAGTTTTCCATTCTTATAATAAAGGAAATTTAGCTTTAGGAGAAAAGAACAATGAAAATGAGACTAAAATGTCAAAGATAAAAAATTTTTCCATAGACTATATCTATCTCAGTTATGCAGCTGGTATTCTGTTTAGAATCATTAGATAGGCTAAATGAATTAATGGAATATCATGATTAGCTTTCATTTCTTTTAAAATATTTTGTTATTTAGTTTAAGTTCTGGGGTACATGTGCAGAACATGCAGGTTCCATAGGTATATATACGACATGGTGGTTTGCTGCTCCTATTGAGCCATCCTCTGAGTTCCCTCCCCTCACCCACAACCCCGCAACAGGCCCTGGTCATGTTGTTCCCCTCCCTGTGTCCATGTGTTCTCATGGTTCAACTCCCACTTAGGAGTGAGAACATGTAGTGTTTCATTTTCTGTTCCTCTGTTAGTTGGCTGAGGATGATGACTTCCAGCTTCATCCATGTCCCTGCAAAGGACATGATCTCATTACTTTATGGCTATGCAGTATTCCATGGTGTATATGAACCACATTTTCTATATCTAGTCTATCATTAATGGGCGTTTTGGTTGGTTCCATGACTTTGCTATTGCAAGTAGTTCTATAATAAACATACCTGTGCTTGTGTCTTTATAGTAGAATGATTTATATTCCTTTATGTATATACCCAGTAATGGGACTGCTTGGTCAAATGGTATTTCTGTTTCTAGATCCTTGAGGAATCACAGTGTAAAAACGAGCCTATTTCTCCACAGTCTCGCCAGCATCTATTGTTTCTTGACTTTTTAATAATCTCATTGTGGTTTTGATTTGCATTTCTCTAATGATCAGTGATGTTGAGCTTTTATTCATATGTTTGTTGGCTGTGTAAATGTCTTCTTTTGAGAAGTGGCTGTTCATATCCTTTGCCAGTTTTTTATGGAGTTGTTCATTTTTCTTCTTGTAAATTTGTTTAAGTTCCTTGTAAATTATCGATATTAGACCTATGTCAGATGGGTAGACTGCAAAAATTTCCTCCTATTCTGTAGGTCGCCTGTTCATGCTGATGATAGTTTCTTTTGCTGTGCAGAAGCTCTTTAGTTTAATTAGATATTATTTGTCAATTTTGACTTTTGTTGCAGCTGCTTTTGGGATTTTCGTTATGAAGTCTTTGCCCATGCCTGTGTCCTGAATGTTATTGTCTAGGTTTTCTTCTAGGTTTTTTTTTTTATGGTTTTGGGTTTTACATTTAACTCTTTAATCCATCTTGAGTTAATTTTTATACAAGGTGTAAGGAATGGGTCCAGTTTCAGTTTTCTGCATATGGCAAGCCAGTTTTCCCAGCACCATTTATTGAGTAGGATATCTTTTCCCCATTGCTTGTTTTTGTCAGGTTTGTTGAAGATCAGATGGTTGTAGATGTGTGGTGGTATTTCTGAGGTCTCTGTTCTGTTCCATTGGTCTATGTCTGTTTTGCTTACTGTAGTCTTGTAGTATAGTTTGAAGTCAGGTAGCATGATGCCTCTAGCTTTGTTCTTTTTGCTTAGGATCATCTTGCCTATACGGGGGTCTTCTTTGATTCCATATGAAATTTAAAGTAGTTTTTTCTAATTCTGTGAAGAATGTCAATGGTAGGTTGATGGGAATAGCATTTAATGTATAAATTACTTTGGGCAGTGTGGCCATTTTTACGATGTTGATTCTTCCTATCCATGAGGATAGAATGTTTTTCCATTTGTTTATGTCCTATCTTATTTCATTGAGCAGTGCTTTGTAGTTCTCCTTGAAGACGTCCTTCATATCCCTTGTTAACTGTATTCCTAGGTATTTTATTCTCTTTGTAACAATTGTGAATGGGAGTTCATTCATGATTTGGCTGTCTCCTTGTGTATTGTTGGTGTAAAGGAATACTTGTGATGTTTGCAAACTGATTTTGTATCCTGAGACTTCGCTGAAGTTGATTATCAGTTTAAGTAGTTTTTGGGCTGAGATGATGGGGTTTTCTAAACATAAAATCATGTTGTCTGCAAACAGAGGAAACTTGACTTCTTCTTTTCCTGTTTGAATACCCTTTATTTCTTTCTCTTGCCTGATAGCCCTTGCCAGAACTTCCAGTACCATGATGGATAGGGGTGGTGAGAGAGAGCATTCTTGCCTTATACTGGTTTTCAAAGCAAATGCTTCCAGCTTTTGCCCATTTAATATGATATTGGCTGTGGGATTTTCATAAGAAGCTCCTATTATTGAGCTATGTTCCATCAATACCTAGTTTAGTGAGAGTTTTAACATGAAAGGATGTTGAATTTTATCAAAGGCCTTTTCTGCATCTATTGAGATAATCATGTACTTTTTGGCTTTGGTTCTGTTTATGTGAGGAGTTACGTTTATTGATTTATATATGTTGAACTAGCCTTGCATCCCAGGGATGAAGTTGACTTCTGGTGGATACGTTTTCTGATGTGCTGCTGGATTCAGTTTACCAGTATTTTATTGAGGATTTTCACATTGATGTTCATCAGGGAAATCGGCCAGAATTTTCTTTTTTTGTTGTGTCTCTTCCCGGTTTTGGTATCAGGTTGATGCTGGCGTCATAAAATTAGTTAGAGAAGAGTCTGTCACTTTCAGTTGTATGGAATAGTTTCAGTAGGAATGGTACCAGCTCCTGTTTGTACCTCTGGTAGAATTTGGCTGTGAATCTGTCTGGTCCTGGGCTTTTTTTGGTTGGTAGGCTATTAATTACTCCCTCAATTTCAGAACTGTTACTGGTCTCTTCAGGGATTCAGCATCTTCCTGGTTTACTCTTGGGAGGGTGTATGTGTCCAGGAATTTATCCATTTCTTCTAGGTTTTCTAGTTTATTTGCATAGGTGTGTTTATAGTATTCTCTGATGGTAGTCTGTATTTCTGTGGGGTCAGTGGTCATATCCCCTTTATCATTTTTTTATTGTGTCTATTTGTTGCTTTTTTCTTTCCTTCTTTATTAGTCTAGCTAGCATTCTATTTTGTTAATTTTTCAAAAAACTATCCTGGATTCATTGATTTTTTTGGAGGGTTTTTCATGTTTCCATCTCTTTTAGTTCTGCTCTGATCTCAGTTATTTCTTGTCTTCTGCTAGCTTTTGGATTTGTTTGCTGTTGCTTCTTTAGTTCTTTTAGTTGTGATATTAGGGTGTCAATTTGAGATCTTTCCAGCTTTCTCATGTGGGTATTTAGTGCTATAAATTTCTCTCTGAACAATCCTTTAGCTGTGTCCCAGAGATTCTGGTATTTTGTCTCTTTGTTCTCATTGTTTTCAAATAACTTCTTGCTTTCTGCATTAATTTCATTATTTACCCAAGAGTCATTCAGGAGCAGGTTGTTCAGTTTCCATGTAAGTGTGTGGTTTTGAGTGAATTTCTTAATCCTGAGTTCTAATTTGATTGCCCTGTTGTCTGAGAGACTGTTTATGATTTCACTTCTTTTCCATTTGCTGAGGAGTGTTTTACTTCCAATTATGTGGTCAATTTTAGGATCAGTGCCATATGGCACTGAGAAGAATGTATATTCTATTGGTTTAGGGTGGAGAGTTTTGTAGATGTCTATTAGGTCCACTTGATCCAGAGCTGAGTTCAAGTCCTGAATATCCTTCTTAATTTTTTGTCTCGATCTGTCTACTATTGACAGTGGAGTGTTAAAGTGTCCCACTATTACTGTGTGGGAGTCTAAGTCTCTTTACAGGTCTCTACGAACTTGTTTTATGAATCAGGGTGCTCCTGTAATTGGGTGCATATATATTTAGAATAGTTGAACTCTCTTGTTGAATTGTTCTCTTTACTATTATGTAATGCTTTTTTTTTCTTTTTTGATCTTTGTTGGTTTAAAGTCTGTTTGTCGGAGACTAGTATTGCACCCCCTGCTTTTTTTTTTTTTTTTTTTTTTAAACTTTTCATTTGCTTGGTAAATTTTTCTCCATCCCTTTATTTTGAGCCTGTGTGTGTCTTTGCCTATGAGATGGGTCTCCTGAATATAGCACACTGATTGGTCTTGACTCTTTATCCAGTTTGTAAGTCTGTGTCTTTTAATTGGGGGATTTAGCTCATTTATATTTAAGATTAATACTGTTATATGTGAATTTGATCCTGTTATCATGATGCTCTCTGGTTATTTTGCACACTAGTTGATGCAGTTTCTTCATAGTGTCATTGATCTTTATATCTCGGTGTGTTTTAGTAGTAGTTGGTACTGGCTTTTCCTTTCCATATTTAGTGCTTCTTTTAGGATCTCTTGCAAGGCAGACCTGGCGGTAACAAAATTCCTTAGCATTTGCTTGTCTGGAAAATATTTTATTTCTCCTCTTATTAAGCTTAGTTTGGCTGGATATGAAATTCTGGGTTGAAAATTATTTTCTTTAAGAATGCTGAATATTGGTCCCTAGTCTCCTCTGGCTTGTAGAGTTTCTGCTGAGAGGTCCACTGTTAGTCTGTTGGGCTTCTCTTTGTAGGTGACCTGGTCTTTTTTTCTGGCTGCCATTAACATTTTTGCCTTCATTTCACCCTTAGAGAATCTGATGATTATGTGTCTTTGCTTGATCTTCTCATGGAGTATCTTAGTGGTGTTCTCTGTATTTCCTGAATTTGAATATTGGCCTGTCTTGCTAGGTTGGGGAAATTCTCCTGGATAATATTCTGAAGTGTGTTTTCCAGCTTGTTTGCATTCTCCCTGTCTACTTCAGGTACACCAATCAATTGCAGGTTTGGTCTCTTTACAAGATCCCATGTTTCTTGGAAGCTTTCTTTCTTTTCATTCTTTTTTTCTGTAGTCTTGTCTGCATGCCTTATTTCAGCAAGGTGATTTTCAAACTCTTATATTTTTTCTTTCGCATTGTGACTTTGGCTATTGATACTTGTGTTTGCTTCGTGAAGTTCTTGTGCTGTTTTTTTCAGCTCCATAAGATCATTTATGTTTCTCTCTAAACTGGT